ATGAGGAGGCGCCACTTGGCCATTATGTCACCCCTTGTGTAAGAGGTGATGTACCCCTAGCAAGATCGATATTGAAATTGGGCTACCTAGACAGCGGGCTGGGTTATTGGGTTAAGGTTTACTTAATGTTAATTGAGCCAGAATTGTGGGAAGCTCAATTGTCAAAATTGTCTAATGGAAGGCCCAATTGTCCAATTAATTTTTTTTTTAACGGGTAATCGGTTCAAGGCGGGGTACCATCGCTAAATACCATACACATCCCTAAATGAAGTGGTTCATTAAAATCAAAACCATAACCGCTCCATTGCACCATCGGTTCGATTTTTTCCGGCTCATTCGATTCGGTTAACCGCGATTTTCGATTTTAACGTATCAAATTGTTATCCCTAATTTTTCCAGCAGAGGCTACAGCGTAAGACCGTGGCATACTGGAGGTTCAACACTCTGTCAAACCCATAGAATGATAATATGATAAATATCTTGTTGGAGCATTTCATCAAGCAATTGGTGGCTGAAGTTACAATATGATTTTTTTCATAGCTAAATGACATTCGCCCCTAATTCCATTCATATATCAATTCGCCATAAAGAGTAGGAAACAAGAAATTTTGTTCATATGAGGCTAGTATTTTCCAGTTCCCACCGCAATGCTTGAACTTGCACTTTATTTTGAGAAAATATGGAAAAGTTTCGTACAATATATGGTGGCCAAATGTTCTCACTAACTAGTTCAAGGAGGATATGGTCGACGCCTGTTTGGCATCTTTCTTTTACTCAAATGCATAGAAGCTTTCCCTTTGGCTGGTTACTGGATATCAGTAGTTGAGTTTTTCCTCTTTCTCTGAACACAAAACCAAAAGATTCGAGAATGATTATTTTTCCGTTTTCCCCCAGAAATGCTTTCTTTCTAGTAGCTTTCTCTTTGGTGCCTGACTTCTTCCAATTTTTGGCAGAAGTAAATTTTTTTGAAAACTCCTCTTTAGTTGTTGTTTTTGTTAGTTTTCAATGGACCACTGCCCAAAAAAAATATTTTCCGATGGCTTGTGGGATGTGGTAATAACATGGTTAATGTATCGATTGTCACAAACAGCGTCAATTTGTTGACATCAAAAAATGTGCCAACAGAATCACTTCCACCCTCCATCCACGTAGGTATTACTTGCACACTGGAACACCTATTAGGAGGCAAATGCCACCAGTGGAGAAAAATGTACAAAGGTCATTTGGACTTCGAAGTTCAAGTCAATGGCTGGACGAGAGAAAAAGAGAGTGCAAAAGAGGGAGAGAGAATTTGGATAGGATTAGAGAACATATCTTGGAATGAAATGAATCACGTATATATAGGAAGTGCAAATGGGCCATGTGGGTAATGGGCCGAGCACAAGATGCAAATTGTTTAGTTTAATAAGCCCAATACAATGAATAGTCGATGCCACGTAATTTATAAATGTCACAGTTGTCATTAATTTGAAGCTAAGCTGGATTTGACCAAGCTAAACTTTGATCATGAGACATGGTTTTATTCATAATTATGAATAAGGAACTATAATGTATAATTACATATATTACTCTTGAAAGTGGCCGAAGACTGTATAAAACATACATGGAAGGAACGAGACAAATGAATCGAGAAATTTCTTTGTCAACTTTTTGGAATTTTTCCATGTAAGAAAGAAGAACTGGTCAATATTTGTGATCCAGATATTAAAAATTTTCCACTGCCAATTTGAAGAACAATTTTTTTTTTAAACATAGAATTACTAACTGTCCCAGCATTCGGGCCCTATAATTTCAATTGCAGCCTTTGAACTTGTCAACCAGAAGCACGTTGATGCCATCCTAGGAACAAAGACATTCCCATCATGTCCATTACGTCAACATCCTCGTCCACAACACCAGGCTCGGAAAAATTGCTTTCTTTTATTCAGATGACTAACCACATCGACGTGCAAACCCAATGCATCGCCGCCATTGTTGGCCATTTCTGGTGGCAAAAGGTGATAACAGTTTATGAACGCAGCACCAGTTTCACAGCAGATTCCGGGATCATCACCCACCTCTCTGATTCACTCCGGGGAGTCGACTCGTGTGATGAACATAGATAAAATTAACTAAAATCTAAGTGAAGGAGAATGATGAAAACTCAATATANGTTTGTTGAACATAGATAAAATTAACTATAATCTAAGTGAAGGAGAATGATGAAAACTCAATATATTTCCAATGAATGATGTACAATATATATACCGCTACAAGATTGGAGAGCAAGCTAATAACTAGACACGTGAGGGAGAGAAAACTGAAAGAATAAAATCTATTACAATAGAGGATAATGTGGTCCCAAAACTGATAGATAGTGGTCCCAAGAATCTGGTGAAATCAATAGATGATCAGCATCATTCTCATCAGCATAAGCCTTGATTAATTA